GAGACTGTTTGAACTCTATAGACTTTCCATTTGAGTTGCTATTCTTTTTGCTCGTGAAATGATGCATGTAGATATGATTTCCATTGACTCCGAGGCCATAATTTGTTCCTGTTGTTAATATAAATTTTACCTCTATTTTGCCTGAATAACATGCGAGCCCTCCTGAAGTGGAATCCTGTCATTCCTATAATTTGTGTCCCTATTAAGCTATATTAATATCTGGTTGTGCCTAAGAATTACAAGTTTATCCTGATTGGGGTTCTGAAAGATAGTAGGGTTATTTTTCTGCTTCTGTCTATAATCTCTAAAGCCCCACTCCCAGTAGCTTTGAAATCAGTGGAAGTTTTGCCATGTAATTCAGTGAAAGGCAGGATTTGTCTGAGACAGTCTTAGCAACTTGTTTAAATTACTAGATTTAAACTTGTAGACTGAAAACTGTGGGTTTTCCATGAAACGCATATATGCCATGTATAATTAGTTCACTTATTCATACCATGAAACTCCATAATTAGCTCTATGGTCCTCTTTAAAAATAAATTGAAGAAGCTTCACATGAGATTTAAACTACAATTAAATAGTGAAAGTGAGGGAAAAATAGCTGAACCCAGAAAATGGGTCATTATGATAATATATATTTAAAATGTAATGGGGAAAGAAAAACAGCAAGCTTGAAGTTCATCATATATACATCTCTCAAAGGGTTAAACTGAACAATGTCACAGTTGAACCATTAACTTGTCCAGACTTTGATTGCAGGACCAGTGAACAGGCTAGCAAACAGAAAAGCTCCACTATGGCTATGTGTATACACTGGCAGAATAGAATAAACTGGGAAGGTATATAATTATGCACAAGTTCCCAAAATACATCAGAAAAAAAATGTAACTGGCAACTATTTGGAGGAGGAAGAAGAGAAGGAAGGCTTTCCTACCTTTTAGTCCAAATAGCCTAGTAATTTGAACACTTGCTTACAGAATGAGAAACCCAGGTTCTTAACCCCCTTCATGCAAGGGATTTGAAGTGTATCTCCCACTTCCAGCAAAGTGTTTTAGCTGCCAGGCCATGGGCTAAGCAATGTCCAGAGTGCCCTCCAGGCTTCATCTTGAAGTTCGGACTCTGGGGCCTAGCAAGCCAGCAGTATGGATCAGTGATGCGCGTACTCTCTTGAAATGGAAGGCCTTGGGTTTTAGCTACTGTACCTGATCCAACCTCCAAAGGAGCAGAAGTTACCTCACTATTACCTATCTATTTTATCCAATGAATGTAAAATACAATATGCAGAGCAGCACTGGAGACAGAAGCAAAAGCCAGAACCTAGAGCCATTTCATTGTCCATCTCACTGGGCCACACACCCACTGATTTGCTTTCTTTCTAGCCCCACATATCTTCCACTCTTGGCTTCTCAACAGGCAATTTCAAGAGGAAATATGATGGGAAGTTTTTCTCCATTAGGACTTTAGGGAACTGGTACACCTTTAAATGACCATCAGGGTGATTCAATTCCATTGTATGGCCATAGCAGAGCAACCTTTTAACTCTGCCTTAACCACACTTGTAGGTGTGTCTACATGTTCAATTACAGCACCTGAATAAACTGTGGAATTTATTGCTCCAGAGTTAATTGCAAGGCACAGCATGTGGAACCTAAGCAGAGCAGCCCCAGCTAGCAAGGGGTCCCAGTGGTTACTCTGCCAGCCTGAGGCAGCTGTCCCTGGCTCAACATGATGTGGAGGGGCTGGCTGGGGCACAAGGGTACTACCAGGCTAGCTGGCAGACAGCCCCCACACTGAAGCACCCTCATGCCTCTGCCAGCTGGGCAGTATCTACATGTTTTTTACTCTTAAGTTTTTTACTCTGCAGCAGGATAGTAATTGTAAAGATATACAGTACATGTATTTACAAGTAGTATTCTGTTGCAAAGTAAATTAGTTTACTCCATCCTAATAGAGGCACACTTGTAGATGCTGAGATGTTTACTGGCAGCTAGTCAACTGTGCAGTAAACATGTCCTATAAGACATGCCTTGTATGTAGAAAATATTGTAATGAGAAAAAAGTCACAGGTGATACAATCATTAGGTTCCTAGAAGGGAGAAGCTTTCTAATGTCTTGGATAGAAGACCTGAGGCATAACAAAACCAGTTGTGAAGTCTTTTACCAAGAAATATGTATGCTAAAAAAAGACATGAAATGGACATTTCAGGAAGATGGGTGTGGAGAGCGCTGCCACAAGTGATTAATAAGATAGTGTGGTGTAATACCAGATGTTTATGTATACAAAAGTCTAATTCCAGTTTGAAATTTCCTTAAAATAGTGAAGGTTGAAAGTCCTTATGCTTAAATAGTATTCTGATTTCTAGGCTCTGTATTTCTCTTAAGAATCTCATTTCGGGACACATGACTTATATAAGTCCTAAAATTACTTATTTTTCTGAGGATAATTTTGTGCCTTATATACTTTTGTTGTTTTGCTTTAACCATTTATTATTCTAAAATAAGAAACTTGCTGCAGTCTGAGGTTTCAGTGAGATTTTTTTTTTTTTTTTTGTTACACTAAAAGAAAGAATCGACAAGAATTTAAGTATACGTGCAGGATTGTGTGATGCTCCTTTTGGATAAGAGGTATGCCAGAAACCTGGTTCCACAAACAATTCTCATTTAAAGTCACATTTACAGAGGCAGCCCCACTGACTTGTGAAACTTGAGAATTTTCAGAACCTTGTCATTTTTTTGCTGTTAGTACATTTCAGAATGGGATTAGTATTTTATGTTTGTGTGGGTAAATGCTTTTTGCTGTGAGCAAAGGTTGCAGTGGCAATCCCTTACCTTTCAGTCATCCTAAGGGATGCTGCTCATGTGTTGCGGTGAAGTGTGTGTGTGGGGGGGGGGGGGGGGGGAGAAAGGGGGAGAGGTTCAGATCTTTTACTGAAGTATCCTGCATTGGGCATAGACTAAGACTGGCTGCCAAACTAAGGGGTTCATTGGTATGGTCTTCTCTGGAAATTAAGTTTCTGAAACAATAACGGCTTCAAACATATTGATTAAGCTGACAACAAAAGACAAAGCTCAGAATATATATTGGACACCCATCATCTAATAATAGAAGTATTATAAACTGAGAAACCTCTTGTGTTATTTTTTCTGAATATGCTTCATGCCTCCATGTATTTGTTTGTGACTGGAGACTTGCCACGGACTTAAACTATAGTGGGTTGTTAGAAGTCAGCAAGAAAATAAGCAGCTTTGCAGCAAACAAACAAAGCTTTAACCAGGTTTATAGCAATGATGAGGCAGCCCCAGCCCTAGAGAAAGAGCCCTTTTGCCCAAGACTGAGGACCTTGGGTTCAAAAGAGACTGCTCTGTGAACAATTCTGCCCTCCAGAAAGAGATGGGAAAACTGTCTGCTACTGCTGCCTGACACAGACTGATGGAGAGCCCATGTCTGAAGTAAGCGGACTACAAATTGGTCCCCAAGAAGATGAAGTTTTCATGTTTCCATCATGTCTAATAGGGGCTTAAGGGGATTGCAAAATATAGTTACCATGAGAAACTACTGTGATTTCCACCCCCCCAAAATACATCATCCTTCAGTGTGAGGAAGCAGCTTCTCCTGGAGGGAGTCATACTTGTTTTTCCTGGAGGGAGACTTGCAGGGGTGCCTCACTTCCTAAACATCATTGGGCCTGCTAAACATCATGATGGGTATAACCCAGGGATGCATTTTGGTGAGCCTTTAAGTAACCGTTTCTCATCCCAAAGAAAAATGGATGCATGCTGTTGTAACTTGATAGGGCTTCAGTCTTGTTTTTACTTTTCTTTTCATCAAGTAGCATCTGGAAGCACAAATGCAGTTTTTACAAGTGTCTCTGAACTCTAAGTTCTCTGCTGCAGTACCAGGGAAATCAGTGAAATCCCTCAGGGTTGGGGTAAACCACAGTGAAATTTGGACCATATCCTTTTTCTGTGGACCAGAGAGATGACAGACAGGGTTGGTAGATCTTTGTCTACAGTAATCAACAGGCCATTCAATTCCAGAAAGGGAATAGTACTATAGAAGCATAAAGTGTTCACAAAATTGCTCCTTTGCCTTGTTATGGAGAATTTCGGTGCCTCACTTCATCCCTGGAAGGAATCCCCTGTATTATGGAGCTACTGAGGTTCATAATGAAGATTGAATTTTCCCCAAGATGAGAGAGAATGAAGCTTAATTCAGTAGGAATGTAGAATGCATAAAGAATTCAGGCTCAAGCATTTAGTGCAATGATTTTAATGAACAATACTAACATCTGTCCTGGTTAATTCATATTCATTTTATTTTGACCTGTCTTCTTTTTAATATTTAGTCTTTTGTAAAAACATTATATTTGTTCAGTTACACTATAGTGAATCCAAAACAACACTTTTAAAGTTCATAGAATTACGTCAGATTAGATTCTGACTCACCGTTGTACATAAACCATGCTGCCCTTCTTTCATTTATAGCCTTCCATAGACTTCTCTTTGAGATATTCATTGAAGGGAATGTTACTTTCAGAGCCTATTTATCATTTATGTTGTTCATGTTGCCTTTAACTGTGATTTTTCTCATGTAATTGTTGTTTGTTGTCTCTGAAGTTGGAAAATAAAATATATATATATCATTTTTTTATGTTCTTGAAAAGCCACTTTGTTCTTTTAGATATACTGTGCATATTATTCTTTTAAAATACTTTTATATTTTCTTTTCTAATAAACAAACAAAAAGACAAACATTTTGTTTATTATGGCTATGAGATAAAGTGAGCTATAGAATCATTTAGTTGATCATTTTGGCTGACTTCATTGCAGTAAAGTTTCTACTGTATAAATTTTTTTCAAGGAATACAGAAGGAATAAACTACCAATTTATTTCAAAGAAAAGTGGATGAATCTTTTTGGTTTCTGGGGGTTTGATGTTTATGAGACAGCGAGAAATGATTGATTTTTTTTTTTTTATTATTTTTATTTTTTTGGTATTCCAGCGGTTTACCTCTGCAAGCGAACAATGCAAAACAAAGCGCGGCTTGAGCTAGCAGACTATGAAGCAGTAAGTACCTGGGGCCGTTCCTCAAACTGAGATGTCAAATCAATGAGTTTCTCAAGCCCTGCAGCATGTAGAATAAAATTCAAGGTGAAGAACACAAACCCTTCAGCCATAGTTTATAAATTGATCAAATTCAACTTGTATCTAGACAAAGAGCAACTAGTACTTTAAGGCTTCTTTTAGAAACCATAAATGCTGTTGCATAGGAGAGGCTGAAGTAAAGATTTCAGGGGATAGAAGTGGGATGAACAGTCAGACCCAAACCCCAACTTTTTCTAGATCTTTGGGGCATTGTTTAAAACGTGGGCTTTTGGTTTCATCTCACGTCTAATCTAACTGTTCACGGTTCCTTTTCCTGGCATCAGTGTTCACAAGTCCTTAAATCCCTGCTGTCTGAGGCAGATATATTTCAATACCTGGAAACAACTGTACTGCATAGTGTAAAGCTTCTACCTATGAATATTGTATTCTATTTATATATAAGGTACCCATGAATTTGACGCACACACATGTTTCTGGCTCTCAACTTAGGGAGAAAAAGATATGTAAAGACACATTTACAAGGTATAATCTTTTTGGTATGTTTAAGAGCTTTACTTTTTCTTTTCTTTTTCCATGAGTGTCAGATGCAGTAGTAGCGTAAGAGAGATGTTGTAGACCAACTGAGCATATCTACATGAGACACTTACTGCACAGTGTTATTAGGCTAATGAGCAGTAAGCATCACTAAATAACCATTTGCTGGTGCTGCTATGCAGTAACTTTAGACACTGTGCATTTAGTTAGCACTTTATTAAGGAAGTACTAAGCTAAATGTGCAGTATCTAAGGCAAGTTAATGAACTTGTAGACACACCCACTGTGTAGCTGGCATAGAGTTAGAAAAGCTTTCAAATGCAAGGCATTCTTCATCAGGTCTGACCACAGCAAGCCAAACACAGCACAGTAACAAGCAATAGTAGGAGAGAGTGAGAGAACTTGCCAGGGCAGCAAACACACAATTAGTAGAAGAAGCTGAGTACTGGGAGATGAAGGCCTATCAAAAAGGAGCAGAGTCTTTCTCACCCTTAACATGTGGAAAGAATTCAGGTGTCAGGTAAATTAGAACATGCCATTAAACCAGTATCAATGTTAAGTCCTTGGTTCTCAGTGTTCAGCCAGTTTATGATTTTTTTGTTCCCATGTTTGCCTTTTAAAGGCATTAAGCACATTTCCCTTGACTATGAAGACAGTGAGGTCAGAGAGGGAGTGGTTGTTCTGTCAGAAATGTGCTCCTAATAGTGTATGCGTGTCTCTGTCCTTTATATATATTTTTATTTTGAGAGTTCATTCTGGTATGTAGTTTCACCCATGTGGTTGTGATGAGGGCATCTGGTGCATTGGATCGGCTATATCACATTGTGGAAAAGATGTGTAGGACACATGGATTGTGATAACTTTGTAAGGGGGTGTATGTTCATAATAGTGGCAGTAGAGATGTGCTGGTAGGTTAAGTATTTCTTGCCAAGGCAGGACTGTGTCTGACTTGATGCCTAGTGGGCAGTGGGGAGATGGTTCTGATGATGAGTTGGGCAAGGTTAGAGGGTTGTTTGAGAGCCAAGAATGGAGGGGATGGGAATATTTCTTTCAAAGGTCTGATTTTGGTTGTGTATAGGCTGTAGTCTGATGATTTTTCTGATCAGTTACAATATTGGGTGGGGATGAACATTAGGATGTTCACAGGGAGTTTTCTTTTTGTATTGTACCAGGTTACCATGGGGTACTTGAATAGCTCTTTCAAATAGATGGACTGTTTCCCTACTGGAGTGCCTTTGTTGTATAAAAGCAGATTTTAGACTGTCTAGGAGGTCATCATGAGTGTTTTCCTCAGAGCAGATGCAGTGGTACGAGAGCCTAACTATAGATTATAATTTCTTGAGTGTACTTGAGATGATTACTGGTCTTGTGGACATAGGTTTGGTGGTCTGTGGGTTTTCTGTATCTAGTGGTTTATCTGGTGCCATCATGGATATGGATTGTGGTATCTAGACTGTTGATGTTAGTGTTGTGAAAAATGCAGCACCTGTCCCAACTTTCATTCTCAGATACTGTGGGGCAAGAAACCTAGTGATTAAAGCATTCCCCAGGACATGGGGCATCTGGGTTTTGTGCCTTCCTCAGCCCAAGGAGACACAGCCTCCCATGTACCACTTCCCAGGAGACTTCCCTAATCAAAAAGCTATAGGACAGGGTGAGTGAGGACATCTTCTCCATCTCCTGTTGAAATGAGTGTACTGGGCATACAGAAATGAAAGATGCATGGGGCCAGAATGACAGTAATCAAGAGGCAGCATGACCTTTAGCCCAGAGATAAGGGCACCCCCCCCCATTCTAATTTATTTCTTTGCTTAACCAATGACTTTCTCATGTGAAATGTATAAACTATCTAGGCAGCGGGGACTAAAAGCTGTATTTCACTCCTAACAGGGAAGTCCAGGAACTAAAGTGTCAGGCTCCTTTTGCTACCATTGCCTGGTAGTGAGAACGCTCTCCTATGAATTGGGAGATGTGGCTTGACTTCCTTGAGGTTGAGAAGGACCTAAAATCCAGATCTGGGTGTTGTGCTTTGCACTGAGCTGAATAGTGATGATAGTGGCAGTTAGGCAAGTTTTGTGAATGCAAAACAGATGATTTGGATAGAATTTAGGCATCTCCCATGTCTTATCTGGATCACAAGAGTGTATAGGCAAGTCCTAGGTTCTTGATCTAGATTGTTTAGGACCAAGCCTATAAGCCTCAGTGTAGGTGTGTTAGGGATCTTTCAGGCCAAAATGGAGATGGCTAATGAATCTAGATGCTTCAATAGTTTTGCAGCTGCTAGAGCAGCATCTGTTTAGTTCCTTTCTTTTTTTGTGATATAAATGCCTAAATTCTGCCCACGTACCTTCAGATTTTCATGCCCACATCCACAGAGAGACATGGATACACCCAGTATCACCACCTGACCTTTAAACTCCTGGATCTCAGAATGAAATTCATAAACTTGAGTCAAGCTCCTGAGTTCCCAATACAGAAAATAGTCAGAGTTAGGTGCCTAAGAATGGGATTCACAAGAGCCAGCACATTGTATACAGGTGAGGGAGATGTAGTGGTCCTCCGGTTTTACTACTGTACCCGAGGGAAGACTTACACCAAGGCTTTGAAAATGATACATATTGGATTTCTGTATATTTCTGTACAGAAATGGATAGCTACAGTCTTCAGGAAGATTTTTTTAAATTAAATCATGCACGGACAGTTTTCTTGAGATGGGTTTTATGTTCCCAGAATAGTAATCACTTCTCCTTATAATGTTTGGCAACAGCAATCTCTAGCAGTACCATAGCCCATATTTACTCAATGTTAACACTTCACAGAGAAGACAAATGGATATTCTAAAGTAGATTAATGGCAATATCGTGCAAATGCTATTGCTATACTCCCACACTGTGCTGCTGTTGAAAAATGGAGGGTATTATTGATTTAGCACCATAACTGTCTACTCAATGCCCACAACTTAGCAAGAGCACCAGGCTCTCCCCCTAAATTTGTGTTCCGCTTTTTCATCACCCTTTTTCAAAGCTTAAAGAGAAAGTGAATTGGAACAAACATCCCTGGCATTCTGTCCTTTTCTGTTAAGCAGGTACCTTACTCCAAACAAACAGGTTGTGTTTATGCTAGCATGTACATTTTGGTTTTTGACCACAATATCATTTTGTGATGTATGAAAGATAAGCTACCATTGTAGAGACTAGAACTGATCTAAATCTACAATTTAAGTTCCTTAAACTGTGATGTATTTTCAGGAAAGTTTGGCCAGGTTACAACGAGCATTTGCCCGGAAATGGGAATTTATTTTCATGCAAGCTGAAGCACAAGCAAAGTAAGTTCTATTGAATTTTTGTTGCTGGATTTGTCATTGAATATTCTAAAGAGTACCACTATTAACACTGTTCATCTTAAATATACCACAACATTGACAGAGTGGACAAGAAAAGAGACAAGATAGAAAGAAAAATCCTTGATAGTCAGGAGAGAGCATTCTGGGATGTACACAGACCTGTGGTAAGTAACTCCATGGATTTTATGTTGAGTTTAAGCATTTGAAATGAGTAGCATCAAACTCCGTTCAGGCATTCCTCAACTTATGACTTTTCGAGTTGCGACGAATGTGACTTAACTTTTATAAATTGACATCCTGTTCTGATGTTCTGTTGTGGGGTTCATCTTTACAACAGTCAATACAGCTGCATGCAGCCGGTAAGTGTGCTGTGGTGGAAGGGTAAGGGAAGGGGCATGGGGAGGCAGATCAGCACCTCCCATGGTGAGGGAGGGGCTGGGGCTGGGACCAGGGGTGGGGCAAGTGCTGCCCAGCCGGGGCTGGGCAGGCATGGGGGAGGGTGGGTATTAGCTCCCATTGCTGTGCACTGCTCATTTGGCAGCTTGACTGGCAGTTCCCACTGCTGCTCCCACTGCTGGTTCGGGAGAGCATAGGGGGGCATATGCCCTTGGATCTGCACACGGTGGGGCTGGGGCTGCAGCAGGCTGTGCTGTGGGTGGGCGACAGGGGCTACGTTGAATTTTTGGGTGGCTGCAGCCCCCCATAGCCCCTGCTCTGCCACCCACCCCATCCCAATTTGGGGTCACACTACACCTCATGACCTTCTGCCACTTGCCCAGGGCAGGTGTGGGTATGGGATAAAACCACGACTTGTCCTGGGGGCATGACTCCCACCTCTACTTGCCACTTGTCCCAGAGGCCATGCAACAGCTCCATCCCATGCCTGTCCCACCCCAGCTGAGCAAGTGGTGGGAGAGCATAGCCAGCACTCCCAGGACTGCCGCTGCCTGCCCAGAGTGCAGCCTAGTGCAGCCCTGGCCCTGCCTGCCCCACCTCATGCAGATCTGGGGGCACATGCCCCACATGCCCTCCTAGACCAGCAGTGGGAGCATCAGCGAGAACTGCCCATTGAACCACCAGATGAGCAGTGTGCAGTGGTGGGAGCTGCCGTCCCCCACACCACCTTCATACCCACCCAGTCCCGGCTGGGCAGCACTTGCCTCAGCCCCTCCCTCACCGCAGGGGACATTGATCTGCCCTCTGCGCCCCTTCACTGCCCCCTCCCTTCCCACCACATCACACTTACCAGCTGCACACAGATGTATCAACTATCATAATGGAACCAATCCCCTATTTGTAACACTGTTCCTACAGGAAAATTGGTTCTGAGTTATGACATTTTGACTTAAGACGTGATTTTCAGGAACCAATTGCGCCATAAGTCTGAGGACTGCCTGTACAAAATGGTGAATATTTGGGAGTATGTGCTTAGGGTTTTTTGAGGGAGGAGGTGACATGATGATGGTTTTTATTGTAAAATATGTTTTAAATGTGTTCATGTTGTAATAATATTACATGTCTCAGTTAGCCTGACTAGCTTATACACAGGGAAAGGAGAGTTGACAGAGTCCCTGCCAGGTCCCAGAGCTGACCATGTGAGGAAATGAGATAGACTTCCAGCATCAATGGAATACTGGATAGCCCTGTTGATTCTTGAAGGAGTTGAAATGCATGTGACACCCTGGAGCCATCAAGGGAAGAGAGAGAAATGAAAATGGCAGTGAGCAGGGCAACCAAAAAAGGAATGTGTTGGCTTGTGGTCTGGGAGGGGCTAAAGGGAGTGAACAGTGGAGCAACTTTGGCACTTGCAGCTATGTGGACTGGCCAGTGAACCCCTGAGCTAGCTTTGGCACGCTCAGGATTGTACAGGCTGATCTGGGGACTTATTGGACATTTGGTAGGCACAGAGAACCTTTGGCTGGGTAGCCTTTGAACTGGGTAACAAAGTAAATGCCTTTATTGACAAGAAGATGTCTGTTTTGTTGCTTGGAATTTCAGGGCACACTTTTTCTTATCCAGAGTAAAGTTCCTAACTCAAGAGCTGAGCTGGGAGAGGCAGGGAGGGTCAGAGACCACAAGGCTATACTCTTAGGGTTGGAAGAAGCCTGGGCTCCCTTCCACTCTAGAAGCCACATCTGGGCCGGCTGAGAGTACTTGTGTAGATATCATAGAGACTGGGCAAGGCCGAAGTTTCCAAGCAAGGGCTCTCCTGGCTAACTCCAAGGCAGGGAGTGGTTCTCTTTTTGTTGGCAGAATGTGCAATTTGTCATTTCTCCACTTAGTATTGTGGATAGACTCATGTTTAATTTTCAAAGAATGCTGAGATAATTATATCATTAATTCACTTTGGGAAGAATGACTTCAAGGAAGAACACTAAGTGGCACTAAAGTAGTGATTAAATAAGGAGTTGGAAGCCCCATTTATTTGCATTTCTGTATTATATATATATGGAGATTAATAAGTTTTCACTTCTTGTACACCTAAGTATGTACTGAACATGAGTGCTAATTCAATAGAATACAGAGGGCATAGTATCATAGTGCTTAGGGTCGGAAGGGACCTAAACAGATCATCAGGTCCGACCCCCTGCCCTGGGCAGGAACGGGTGCTGGGATCATATCACCCCAGCCAAATATCTGTCCAGCCTCCTCTCAAAGACCCCCAAGGTAGGAGAAACTATCACCTCACTTGGGAGCCCATTCCAGAGCCTGGCAGCTGTAACTATAAAGTAATGTCTCCTGATGTCCAGCCTGAACCTTCTCTCTAACAATTTGTGGCCATTATTCCTAGTAACCCTGGATGGTGCCCGGGGGAACAGAGCCTCCCCCAATTCCCGCTGGTCTCCCCTAGTGGACCTCTTTTTGACCCCTGGTGAGTTTGTAAATGGCCACCAGATCCCCTCTCAGCCTTCTCTTGTGGAGGCTGAATAGGTTCAGACCCTTTAGCTCAGGGGCAGGCAATTATTTTGGGCGGAGGGCCACTTACCCAGTTTTGGCAGGCTGTCAAGGGCTGCATGGGTAACCCCGCCCCTTGACAGGTGCTCTGCACCCTGGTCACCATTGTGGGACCAATGTCCCAATGTCTTGGGACCAGTGTCACAGAGCCAGCACTGGTGGGGCCCAAAGTGGGGCGCAGGCTGGCAGAGGTCTGTGGAGCCAGGCTGGGCTGCACAAGCAGGGAGAGGGGGGAGCTGGCCCGGCTTCATAGAGCCCCTGCTGGCTGGGACCCTGTGCTCCTGCCACCCTGCTCTGGGCCCTGCTGGCACTGTCCCCGGGACACTGGTGCTCTGACTGGCTCCTTGCCCACTCACACCCAGTGCCTTCCAGCCCCATGGTACAGGCAGGGGGCAGCACACAGCCCTGACCCCCTGCTCGTTGACAGGGAAGAAGCTGGTGCTGAGTGCGGGGAAAAGCAGCCCCTCACCTACCCCATGGCTGGTGCTCCTTGCTGCAGGTGCTCACAGTCCATGCAGGGCTGTCTGGAGCAGGCACAGGCAGCCCCAGGTGGGTTGTGAGTGGCTGCAGCATGGGGGGCCAGCCACGGGGCGAGTGAGGGGCTGCTTTTCTCCATGCTCAGAACCAGCTTGAAACCCACCCCCAACTGCCAGCCTGGGCCCTGCGCCGACTCCGGGTTCGCTCATCGGTGGCAGCAGCTGTGGCCCCCCCTGCTTGCCGCGCCAGGCAGTGTTGGTTGCTGCTGCCCGCCCAGAGCTCGCACGCTGGGCAGCCCACAGGCAACAGTGGCAAACACTGCCTGGTGCAGCAAGCAGGGGGGCTGCAGCTGCTGTCGCCATGCACAGCCCCAATGGGTGAACCTGGAGCCAGTGTGGGGCCCAGGTTGGCAGTTGGTTACAAGGTGGTTACAAGGTGGTGCTGAGCATGGCAGTTGGTTACAAGGTGGTTACAAGGTGGTGCTGAGCATGGGGGGAAAAGTGGCCCCTCTCTCACCCCATGGCCGGTGCCTGTGCTGCAGCTGCTCGCAGCCCGCCTGGGGCTTCCTGTGCCTGCTCTGGACAGCCCTGCACAGGCTTCAGCATGGGGCGCCAGCCACAGGGCAGGGGAGGAGCTGCTTTTCTTCATGCTGGGAAGTAGCCCAGGGAAAAGCTGAGCATGTGGGGGGAAAAGCGGCCCCTCACCCACCCTGTGGCCTGCGCTCCCTGCTGCAGCCACTTGCAGCCCTCACGGGGCTGTTCGGAGCAGACACAGGCAGTCCCAGGCAGGCTGCGAGCAGCTACAGTGCAGGGCACTGGTCGCGGGGCAGGTGAGGGGCTGCTTTCCCCCCGACACTCAGCTTTTCCCTGGGCTACTTTTCCCCGGGGTCCTCCCCCCACCTTACCTGAGGTTCCGGCACAGGGCAGCCACCTAGTCCCAGTCCAGAAGCCCCTGCTGGGGCTTCCAGCTGGGTGGGCCCTGCTGTTGTGGGGGCCTGCAGGGCTTCCCCTGGGTCCTACTGCCCTTGGTTCCTGTCACTTTTGACAGGAACCAAGGGCAGATAAATATCAATTTTCTAAATTTTTAGGGGCCCTGCGGGCCAGATAGAATGCCCTTGTGGGCCAGATCTGGCCCACATGCCATATTTTGCCCAACCCTGCTCTAGCCTGTCTTCGTAGGGCCTGCCCCACTGCTCCTTGACCATGTGAGTGGCCCTCCTCTGGACCCTCTCAATGCTAGCCACATCCCTCTTGAAGTGCAGCACCCAGAACTGGATGCAGTACTCCAACTGCAGCCTGACCAATGCCACATAGAGGGGAAGGATCACCTCCCTGGACCTGCTTGTGATGCATTTGTAGATGCACAACAAGGTGCGGTTAGCCTTACTGACTGCTTCCTCACATTGGCAGCTCATGTTTACCCTGGAGTCAACAATGACTCCAAGATCCCTTTCTGCCACCGTGTTGACAAGAAGGGTATTCCCCAGCCTATAGGTGTGTTGCTGGTTCTTTCTCCCTAGATGCAGCACCTTGCACATGTCTGAGTTGAATTCCATGCTATTCTCATCTGCCCACCTTGGTAACCTGTCTAGATCTAGCTGGATTCTGTCCCTCCCCTCCAGCATGCCCACCTCACCCCACAACTTGGTGTCATCAGTGAATTTGGACAGCGTGCATTCCACACCCATATCTAGATCTCTAATAAAGATGCTGAATAGTACAGGCCCCAGGAT